GCAGCGGCAGGCCGATTCCGAGCGCTGCGCTTTCAATGCTGCTCTCTCTCTCTCTCTTGCTCCCTTACGGAACGCCCCATGGGTGCGAGAGAGACAGAGCGATGACTGCAGTGCAGGCAAGCCCGGCCGGCCAGGTGTTCGGCTCGCGTAAAAGCCGCTCCGCTGCGAGCGAACGCGAAAGCGCAGGCCGACGCGCGGGGGCAGCGCGGCTGCGCCACCCAACGACCGCCAGCGACCGCCAGCGACCGCCACAGTTACACCGCAGTCCCGGCGCATTTGTCTCAATTCCCGGAACGTGCCCCGGAAGGCGCGCGTCGTTGTCCGGAACCACGCCGCGGAACCTCGCCGGGGAGGAAACGCCAGACCTGTTGACGGCCTGCAGCAGCACCAGCCATTCCGGCAGCAAAAAGCGCCTGCGAGGTAGGCAACACAGCGCGCCGCCGCGCACGGCTGTTGTGCATGGCTGCCTACCCCGAGTCTCGCAGGCGCTGACGAGTGCACCATCGCGCCGCACACTGCAAAACCCGTGCCGCGCCGTGCCGCCTTTGTCCGACGGTCAATGGCTGGCGCTCCGTGCCTGGCTGCAGCACAGTGGGCCAGAAGACCGGCGCAGGCGGCCAAAACTCTAGACGCGATTTGAGCTATAGAGTCGCTAAATGGGACTCGAAATGAACGTGTGACCCCACCAACGGATTGGTCTCCGAACGAGGAATCCATTGGTGGGGTCACACGCTCGGTTTTAGTCCTGTTTAGCGACTCTAGAGCTCAAAACGCGTCTAGAGTTTCGGCCGCCTGCGCCGGTCTTCTGACCCACCGTGTGCAGCCCTCGCTGGGCCTGCACTGCAAAACCACGCAATCATCATCCTCGAGGCGGGACAGACGGGGCTGGCGGCAGACCGCAACCCGCGCGGCAATACAACTCGTAATGCCCCCTAATGATTGGACCGGCCGGCGAACATGTGTGCACGGCGCGGAGCGCGGACCCGCACACCGTCCTGGACCGTCCCGGACCTAGCGCGGCCCGGCTGGCGTGAGGCGGCCGCAGCCTCCGCCCAAGCTGCCTCCCTGCAGACGACTGATTCCGAGAGTCGTTTTCGCCGTTCTGTCTCTCTCGCACCCTGTGCCCGATGGTGTGCCCGATGAGTGCGAGAGAGACAAAGCGACGAAAGCGACTCTCGGAACCAGTCTGCCGGCCGCGCGAAGCCACTACTTCTCCTTGGCTGCGACGTCGCCGCCGCCGTTCATTTCTTTCAGTGGGGACGTCCCCTCCCCCTCCCCCTCTCCGGCCGCAAACATTGTAGAGGGAGGAGCGGCGCGGCCTTCTTTACTTAACTAAAGTATTTGCGTAAATCGTCAAGCGCGCTGAGCCACGCGCCGCCCAGCAGCAGCCCTGTTTCGCCGCCCCACTTTCCGCGCCGCCCCTCACGGCCCTCACGCACACAGACGCAGCGGGGCCACACGCACGCACACCGACACAGGCGGACGGGTGCGCAAATCACACACCAACACGACGACGACGGCGACGCGGAGGTACGCCCCCCCCCTCTCCCCGCACACACACAGGAACACACGGACAGGCGCGCGCGCAGGCCAATACAAACACACTAACAGTCCACTACGAACACACACTCGGGGTGAAGCGCGCCTCAGAGGGCTTAACCTACGGACATCGGCACAAAGTGGCCACACACTGCAGCACTTGGCACACGACGCCCCGCACTGCTGCGCTCCGACGTTGACCGTCGGTGGCCGAGCAGAGCGAGGAGGAGGAGGGGACCGCCCCCGCTTCCCCGAACCCGAAACGCATACTGCGGCTTCGGCCGGACCTCAGCCCGCCGGCGTGGCGGTAGTTGCCGACGTTAATTTTGTTGACTCGACTAGCCCGACTAGCCCCAGCATAGACCCGGCTGGGCTTGGCCCTGGGCGAGGTTCGGCGGGTTCGGCGGCCATCTCCGCCTCGGCCAGCAGCTTCCGGGAAGAGAACGACGGCGGGGTGCTGGCGGCCCTGCCAGGGCGGCCAGGCCAGCCGGCCAGCCAGGGCAGCCAGCCCTCTAATAAGACAGTGACTTTGCTTCTATGAATAGGCGCGCTAAACGGCCACCTGCCTTCTCTGCGGCCTGAGGACTGGTTCCGAGAGTCCCCCTGTCTCTCTCGCACTCATGGCGCGTCCCGTATAAGTGCGAGAGAGACAGAGCGACGAAAGCGACTCTCGGAATCAGTCTGCTGGGGCGCGCAGTGGGCACTCTGGCGGACGCGCACTGCGACGACGCCGTGCTCGCCGAGGCCCGGTGCGTGCGTACGGGGCTCGTGAAAATAAATCAGTTTCTCAGCCGCTGCGCGACGCGGCGACGCAGCGCGGCGGACCTGCAGCGCGAGTGCGGCCCGCGCGGAGAGCGCAGCGCGCAGCGGTGCAGTCGCGTCCTGATATATTGGGCGCAGTGGCGCCGCGCCCTGCTGTCCGCACCCCGCCCCGCCCCGCCCCGCCCCGAGCATTGCGCAAATTGCATCCAGCGCGCGTGCACTCCAATAAAATGAAAGCCGGCGGGTCGCGGCCATCACTGCGATGATTCCATTCGACTCGATTCCATTCGATTCCGTCCGCGCGGAAGCCACGCCGGACGGCCGCACGGACGACGGAGGCAGCGCGACGGCGGCGACACTGCCAAAAGCCGCCACCGCCACGGACTCGATGGAGTCGCGTGGCGCGACACGCGGCACGGCAGGCAGGCAAGGCAGGGCTGCAGACTAAGAGTCGTTTCCGTCGCTCTGTCTCTCTCGCACTCATAGGGCGTCCCGTTGAGGTGTGAGAGAGACGGAGCGACGAAAACGACTCTCGGAATCAGTCTGCTGGGGGAGGAATTTATGGACCGCTGCCGTTTCCGTCCGCGGGGGGGGGGCGTGAATAGAGGGCGTACTGATTGCCTCGCCGTGTTTATTGGTTTGCGCCCCGCCCCGCCCCGCCCCGCCCCGCCCGGCACGCCCCGGTGACGGCGCTCGCGCAAAGACGCTCCCGCGGATAATCGCGCGATCCGCGTTCGGCCGTTCGGACGGAATGGCGCGGCGACGCGGACCAGATTATTCGTCGCCCGTTCCTACAGTGGCGTGGCGACGGGCGTCCTCAAACTAATTGGCCCGAAAAGCCGGCGACCCGGCAGCCCGCCTGGCCCTCACCTCGCTGCCTCGCTCCGGCGGGCTCGAACCTCGCGCTGTCTCTCTCTCACCCTCTCGGCACGCCCCGCGGCTGCGTGAGGGACGGAGCGGCGAAGCGGCGAAAGCAGCGTTCAGAATCAGCCTGCAGGCGGGACAGCGGGACGGCCGGCCGAACCAAAATCGCGCACAGCCGAGTTGGATTAGTCGAGGGCGTCAGGCCGAGACGGGGCGGGGCGGGGCAGGGCGGGGCGGGGCGGCGCGAGGCGGGGCGGGGCGGGGCGGGGTCGAAGGTGCTGCTCGCTCACAGTCCTGAGATATATCGACCGCACTTGAAGGAGATCACCTGTTCCTTGCGCTCCGCTCCGTATAGGCAGCCAACCACCGAAATAGAAGCCACCAGAGGAGCCGCGCGGAGACGAGGGAAACGGGGCACCGGCCCGTCCCTGCCCCGCCCCGCCCCGCCCCGCCCCGCCCCGCCCCGCCCCGCCCCGCCAACAAGAGACGCCTGCGGTTGATCGAAGGCAAAATAAGCCTCGCGTCGCCGAGAAAGGTCCGAGCAGTCACAGCAGCTGGAGATGCTACACCGCCAGAAAGTCGCCCTGGTGTTCCTTCTTCCCGACGGGGCATTTCAATTTCCAAAACATTCAATCATTGTTCACAATTTGAACTGCGATTTAATTTCGGGTGGCAGAAACGCCTGAGAGTAGGCAAATCTTGCACATTCTTGCACATTCCCACAATCTTTGTACACAAAATTTTACGGTGGGCCACCCCTTGTTTCTTTACTTGTTACTATTTTGAGACGCTGGCGCGTGCCGGAGAAAGCGATGACCGGTCGCGTTCACGATAAAAACGCGCGGGCGGCGCGGGCCTGCGCGTACACTGTAAGGGCAAGGCCAGGCGGCGCTCGGCTGCCCTTGGCGCGGGTTCAATACCCGGCGGTGGCGTGGCCGTGCCGTCATGTCATGACCTGCCCAACCCGCGACGGCCGGCCCAGCCCAGCCCGACCATCGTCCATCATCGTTTCCTCGACGCGGTGCGCGAGGTTCGCAGAGGTTCGCAGAGGTTCGCAGAGGTTCGCAGAGGTTCGCAGAGGTTCGCAGAGGTTCGCAGAGGTTCGCAGAGGTTCGCAGAGGTTCGCAGAGGTTCGCAGAGGTTCGCCGAGGTTCGCAGAGGTTCGCCGAGGTTCGCAGAGGTTCGCAGAGGTGCGCAGAGGTTCGCAGAGGTTCGCCGGCCCGCCGGACGCGTTTACGATTGGCAGCCCGGACATTTGATTCCTCGCTCTATTCAACTTTCCCTTTTTTCCCTTTTGCCTTTCGCTGAAATGGAGGTCGGTTCGCCAACCTGTCCCGCGAGTCCCCGCCGAAATACGCGGCCTCCGTGACCCGCGCGCGCCTCGGTGGATTTGGCGCCGGCCGACTCCGAGAGTCGTTCTCGTCGCTCCATCTTTCACGCACCTACAGGGGACGCCCCGTGAGTGCGAGAGAGACAGAGACGAAAACGACTCTCGGAATCAGTCTGCAGTCCGCCGGTCGCACGGCCCGGCCCCCGCGAGTTCAGACAGCGTGCGTCACCGTGTCACCCGCCGATTTGAAACGCATACGGCTCGGGGGAGGGGGGCGGGGGCACGGGGGTCTCCGTTGTTATTAATGGGTCTCGTCGCGGGGCTGGCCAGGCGCTCGGCGAAACTGGCCGCGGAGACGGCGGTGGCAGCTTCTTTCTGCGAAGCAGGTGAGTCAGGATCGAGCGCCTCGCGCGACAGTCCCGACACCTGCGCGCCGCGTGTTTCGCGCGTGTTCGCGCGTTCCGCGAACGGCGCGAGTCGAGTCGCCAAACGGATCTGTACTCACACATCTCGGAGCCGAGGACCCACGTCTCGGGCTTGGAGTTGACCTCGACGAGCACGGTGGGCGTGCACACGAGCAGCACCATGAGGTCGGCGATGCTGAGGTTGGTGAGGAAGATGTTGGTGGAGTTGCGCATGTCGCGTGACTTGAGGATGACGAGGGGCACCATGACGTTGCCGATGACGCCGATGCCCAGGATGAAGATGCAGAAGACCATGGAGGTGGTGCGGATGTAGCCGGGGAATTCGTTGGTGCCGCCGCCCTCGGCGCCCTCGGCCAGGAGGTCCTCGCTGCGGGAGTCATTGCCGGACAGACTGCTGGCGTTGGCGTAGTCGGCGGCCAGGGCGACCGACGCCAGCGCGGAAATCATGAGGGCATCGAGGGGTGGCACGGCAGGGTGGCTGCGAGGACTCGGAGGACTCCAGTGACAGTGGCGCCACGTCCGAGGACTCAGCCGGGCGCCCCCAGCACGGCCTGCACGGCCTGCGCCTGCGCGGCCTGCACGCCGTCAGGCATCACGGCCTCGGCTCCTCGTCGTCGTCGTCCTCGGCCTGGGCCTCGGCCTGCGCCGCGGCCTGCACCTTCCCCCTACCCTGGCCAGACTGCCGGCTCAGGGGCATGGGGGCGGCGGCGGCGCGGGCCCGGCGGGGCGGCCGGCGCCCTGGTGCATGCGCCTGCAACAGAAGAACACACACGTCAGCGCGATCTGCTGAAGAAACGGGAACGGATTAAACCGACCGGACCGGCGGACAGCGCGACAACAAAGGCATTTTTAGCGAGCCATTCCATCCCCCGCCCTCCACTCTCCACTGTTGGCGCGGCACGGTAAATCGGTCGTCGCCCCGCGGCGTCCATTGCGTCCATTACCGACCCATTATTGCGGCGCGCTTTACGAGAGCAGCGGCCAGGTGCGCCGCGCCCTCTGCCTCGTCGCGCTGTCTCTCTCGCACCCCTACGGGACGGCCCGTGGGTGCGAGAGAGACAGCGCGACGACGTCGCTGTTCGTTGTCAGCCTGCTGAGCGCGGCGCGCAGCCCCAGCGGGCCTCCTAGAATACCGGCGTTCCCTCAGGAGGCGTTCGAGGGGGCGCCGCTGGCAGTGCCGTGCCGTGCCCCGCGGGAGAGGTTCGGTTCGGCCCCTAGAAGACACACACAGCGCCCGCGACTCGGTGAACCTCAACCCAGCCTCCTCGCTCTCCCTGAACGCGATGATTTAAAAGCCCAAGCACGCCGCCAGTACACTGCGCGACCGCGCGGCCGCTGCGGGCGTCCGGACGATTCGGGCCGTTCCAAATTGGGATTCTAGGAGTTTACAGCCGGAGTCCAGGGTCGGCGATAGCCTCCGCGCCACGCAACCCCGCGGCCGCGGCGGACAGCCGTTCGGTCCGGCCCGCGGCCCGCGGCCTGCCCGGCCTGCCCAACGAGTCCATCCCTTTTTTGTCCACTCGGGAGCGCGCTCTCGAATTACTGCTGGGACATTATCCGCATCGGGGCGGGGCGGGGCGGGGCGGGGCGGGGCGGGGCGGGGCGGGGCGGGGCGGGGCGGGGCGGGGCGGGGCGGGGCGGGGCGGGGCGGGGCGAGGGCCAGCGCGGCGCGTGACCGCTTAGCGAGTGGCCGCCGAACACGGGGCAGTCGACCGCAAAAAGCCATCTCATTTACTGCACGGAAGGTGATGAGGCTAGGGCCTTCGCGGAGGAGGCGGAGCAGCAGCACGACGACAGCGGTTTGGGGGGTCACCGGCACGCCGACGACACCCATGGGCAGCTTCCCTCATTATGCCGATAGCGCCACCATGTGAACCGCAGACTGATCTAATTAACGATGCAAATAAAATTCCCGCCCCCACCCCTCTGTCCTGTCTGTCCCTCGTGGCCGTGTACGTGCAGCTGTTGCGTCGGTGGCGCGGCTGAAGCGCAGAACAATTCCCCAGATTCGCAATAATCCGTCCCAGCTCAGTGCTTCCCTCTGTTTTTCCATCAGGCACGGCGCGGCGCGGCGCGGCGAGCGAACCGCGACAGGAATGGCATTCGGGAGGTCCGCGCGGAGCGGCGGAGCGGCGGGCCGGCAGAGCGTCAATACACTTCACTTCCCCAAAAGGGAATGTCGTGTCGACACGACTGCACCGCTTATCGTGACGTGGGGCAGCCCGCGGCCGGCACGTCCCCGTCGTGGGGGTGGCTGGCGGCCACGTGGCTGCCTGCCGCCCCCGCCCCGCCCCGCCCCCCGGCCCCGCCATGCGGAACGGGGACGAGAGCTCAGTAGGGAGGAAAACGAGACGGGCTGAGGCCACGCCAGGCCATGCCAGCCGGGCCACGCGGAGGCCGAGAGGCGAGGGTAGGGTGGCTCGGTGGCGGCCGGCATGGCCGAGGCATGGCGGGGTGGCGCGGCCGGCAAGTGGCTGCCGGGAATCTGAAATAAGGACCACCGGCCCACAGTGGGCCAGAAGACCGGTGGAGGCGGCCAAAACTCTAGACGCGTTTTGAGCTTCAGGGTCGGTAAACAGGACTCGAACGGAACGTGTGACCTCACCAATGGATTCCTCGTTCGGAGAGCAATCCATTGGCGGGGTCACACGTTCGGTTCGAGCCCTGTTTACCGACCCTGGAGCTCAAAACGCCTCTGGGATTTTGGCCGCCTCCGCCGGTCTTCTGGCCCACTGTGCGCCCTGGCCTGTAGACTGATTCCGAGAGTCGTTTTCGTCGCACTGTCTCTCTCGCACGGGGCGCCCCATGCGTGCGAGAGAGACAGAGCGACGAAAACGACCCTCGGAATCAGTCTTGCTGGGCGGCCTGGCCTGGGCCTGGCCTGGCGCCCCCAGCCCCGCCGGGCCTAAGCGGGGCCGCCGGCCGCCGCGCCGTGCGTCCATCTATTCCCAGCTTTATTTTGACGGACCCTTCCTCCAGGACAGGCGGGCCGGCCGGGCCAAGGGCCGCACAAGGCTGACTGATCGCCGCCGAGGCGCCTCAATCAAATAGCCCTACAAGCAGTGCAGGCCCGTGCAGGCCCGACGAGCACCCCGACGGAGTCCACCCAGCCTGCGAGCCTCGCGCAGCGGCGCGCCCCTGACAGAGTGGCGGACTCTGCGAGGAGAGTGGAGACGAGACGAGACGAGACGCGGCTCAAAAGTTGACTTTAATAAAACAGGCGGCGCATTCCCCCTGAACAATGCAGCAGCGCCCCGGCCACCGCCAGGCCACCAGCAGACTGATTCCGAGAGTCGCTTTCGTCGCTCTGTCTCTCTCCCACCATAACGGGACGCGCCTTGAGTGCGAGAGAGACAGAGCGACGAAACCGACTCTCGGAATCAGTCTGCTGGCCAGGAGGCCGCCGCCAACGGCAGCGCTGCTGCAGTCATAAACAGCACGGCGAGGTATTGTTTCAAAAATTCATACCGCGCCACTTTGCCACGCCTTCCCGATTTTCCGACAGTGCAGGCTACGCGTTTCCGCGCCGTTGTTGCCGAGACGAACGGGGGCGGCGAAAACTGCTTTTAGGCGGTGCAGCTTCGGCCCCCTGTCAAATGAGCCCGCTTTTTCACAAATCCTTCGACGGCCCCCTCTTAGAGGACTCGCCTAGGGAGAGGAAGGCGAGGCGGTGCATCCGGGAGGAGGAAGTGGAATTGGATGAAACAGAGCGAGGGACTCGGCCACGCCCCGGCGGCGGCCCTCCTCGCGGCCCTCCCTCGCGCCAGCGCCAGCAGCGCCAGCAGCGGCGCCAGCCCCATCTTCATATTTACATTTAGATGAAAATGAAGATCGCCAATAAACGATCATTGGCCCGTTTTACTGGCGACTCGGATCGGCATCTTCGTCTCGGATGATGTCCGACCATTCGGTCCCTTCGGCCCACGGGGGAGTAGCGGGCGGGCCGCCCGCCGCGCAGTGGGCCAGAAGGCAGGTGTACGGCAATACAGTCTGTCTCAGGTCGGAACGAGCCTGGAGACGGTCGCGTTGTTGCAGCGGTAGTGCGGCTACCTGCTATTGAGGGTGGCAGCGGCCTGTGCCGAACCCCCGCTGCGAAGGGTCTGTCCCTTTTCATTTCAGAGGTGTTGCTGCAGTTGCTGAGGAGGCAAGTGAACCTCGCCAGGCTCGTTCCGACCTGAGACAGAGTGTAGATCCACCCCCCCGGTAAAAGAACCGGGGGGTGACTTAACCGCGGGATAAAACCACCGCCCTTGGCTGACTCCTGAGAAGGGGTGGTTTTATACCGAGGTAAAGTCACCCCCCTGCTGGTCCTGGGGAGTGGTTCTATCCCGTGGTAGAACCACCCCCCTAGCTGGCTCAGGGGGGTGCATCTATCACGGGATAAAACCACCCCCCAAAGACGGGGAGTTACTTTATCACGGGATGAAACCACCCCCAAATTTGCATATTTGACGGGTTTTAACAGCACTTCTCACCACACGGTAAAACGAAAGCCTCACACTTAATTACTATGTAGTTTTTTCTGCGCGCCAATGCACGAAATTAAACATGCACTTTGTAACGCACGTATTTGTGCGCGACAAGAAACGATTTCGTGCGTGAGTATGCAGAAAATCGTGCATTGTCGCGCACAAATTCGTGCGTTACGAAGTGCATGTTTAATTTCTTGCATCGGCGCGCAGAAAAACCTTCATAGTAGTAATTTGGTGTGTAGAATGCAAACAAAAAAATCGCGAAGGTGTTTGCAATACAAAGCTGGTGAATATTACGTTTCCAAAGCACTTTCGTTTGCAAGCTTTCAAGTATGCGCCCCGATTTTGGGTGTACAATCTTCTGGAGACGGAAAAAAGCGTAAAGATGACCGGGACGCTCTCCCGTAAAATATGCGAAATATGGGGGGTTGTTTCATCACGAGATGAAATGACCCACCATTTTCAGGGGGGTGCTTTAATCACGGGATGAAACCACCCCCCGGTGGTTCTATCCCGTGATAAATGCACCCCTCTGAGCCAGCTAGGGGGGTGGTTCTACCACGGGATAAATCCACCCCCTACACGGATCAGGGGGGTGACTTCACCACGGGTTGAAACCACCCCTCTCAGGAATCAGCCTGGGGGGTGGTTTTATCCCGTGGTAAAGTCACCCCCGGTGCTTTTTCCAGGGTGGGTGGATCTATAACCTCACACCGGCGCCGGCGGCCAAAACACTAGACGCGTTTTGAGCTCCTGAGTCGCTGAAGAGGACTCGAACCGAACGTGTGACCCCACCAATGGATTCCTCGTTCGGAGAGCAATCCATTGGTGGGGTCACACGTTCGGTTCGAGTCCCATTTAGCGACTCTAGAGCTCAAAACGCGTCCAGAATTTTGGCCGCCTCCACCTGTCTACACCGTCGACCGACTACAGGCGAGGAGGAACCAAAGGACGAGGTGGTACAGTGGAGTACTACCCGCAAAGTACCCGAAAGGCGCACAGGCTGCCCTCGTTAAAATGCCCCGCCTACGCGATTAGCGACAAAAGTTCCCGAGCAGCGGCGCCGCAAAGTTGCTCAACAGTGTGGCGGCAATAATGACCGGAAGTACCTTTCTCCGTCAGGTTTCATTGATTCC